TGTCATTGACCCCTGCCTGCAGGCCCTGACTGGGGCCAGGACTGGGGGTGGACTTATGTCAATCACAGAGATAGATTCATACACGGAACAGTCCTCTTTGCCCATCAGGTCCATTCCCGTTTTACCCTGCTCTGTGCCCCAGGTGGCCCATATCAATGGACGACATTACCCAGGAGTCCTTCCACTCTGGCTTCTGGTTGAACTTGGCCATTAAGAGGCTCCATCCCCCTTTCCCTCTCTTTGCCTGTTTCTTTGTCTCTCTGACCCTCTCTTGGAGCTGCGTGGTTGTCTCTCTCTTGCCATGTGGTCTGTGGTCTCTGCTCACCCTAAACTTCACAGCCCGATGTTCCTCCTCTCCAGGCCTGTGACTGAAGTTGGTTGCCTGGCCCTGCATGACCCCTCAGTCCAGCACTCAGCATCTCCCAGACCAATTTAAAATTCCAGGACAGTGAGTACAGCTCGGCTCAGCCGCTCATGCCTCGTCCAGTCAGCTGTGGCAGAGACTTGAGAACAGGCTGTCTGAGGAGAGGTCTGGGTGAGGCGGGGCTGCTCCACATGAGGACCCTCATGGTCCTAAGTCCCCAGGTCTCTCCATCCAATGTGAAGTGTGGCGCAGCAGCACCCCTCACTGCCGGGATCCAGATGACCTTGCCCTTGGGCCTTCCTGGGAAACTGCGGGAAAACAGAGCCAATGCTAAGTTTGCGAACAGGGAAAAGCATGCTCCCCTCCCATCCCCAGCTCGCATCTCATGGTTCTTTAAATGTATTGAGCTGCCTCCTCCTCAAACATCCTGATTCTTCCAGCTGTATCTGCAGAAACAAATCATTGTCAGCCAGTTTGGGGTTCCGGTTTCAGATGTCAGAGCCGCGTGTGGTACAAATACTCTCTACCGTCTTTCTCCCACACATGGGCAAATGCTTTAGAGAATTCAAGAAGCACCAGGAAGAAGGAGGCAGCAGCCCTGACTCTGGGGACGAAGGAGTCCCAGGGAGGGCTGGGGAGAGTCTCCAAGTTAGCTGTGAGGCATGAAGGCAGAGGGGCTCTGCCAAACGCCTGTCTCATTTCTGGTAGGACCTTAACAGATGTTTTCTACATCTCTGGGCAGCTCTTAAATAGCAGCGTGAGGATTTAGGGGTGATGCAGCACAGTTTCAATGGGGAAGGTGTGAGGATGGGAGTTTGGGAACATCTTGCCTCATTGGGAGATACCAGCCAAGGTTGGGGGAATGGGTGCAGGAAAGGCCTGGGGCTGGGCTTGGAAGCTGGTGGTGGCTGTGGAACTGGGGGCTCTAGGCCTCAGCACATACCCTACATTTTTTCCTGGCCTGCTTAGGACTCATGCAGACTTGCCATAGCTATCAGGGGCCTGTGCCCCCAAATCTAAACTCTGCCTTCAGCCAGTGTGCTTCTAGAGAAGGCAGGCTCCAGTCTTTAAGCTTTGCTGGCCTACTATAAACAGAGAGAAGAGGCCACCCCAGCAGAGAAAGCTCCCGTGAGTGCTGGGGAAAAGGCCATGTAGATCCAAACACGGGTAATAAGTCACTTTGTAATGAAAGAACCCAAGCCTGTAGCATCTCTCTCCGGAATCCTGAATTCCAGTCATTCATCTGAGTGACATTTGTTGAGCCCCTCCTGAGTGCCATGTGCTGTACCAGGTGCCAGGGATGCTCAGGTCCCGTCCTCCAGGCTAGCAGGGAAAACAGGCACCCACACAAACCAAGGCTTGTGGTAGGATGCGATGGAGACCCCTACAGTGCTGTAGCGGCGCCAAAAAAGCAGCAGATTCTTTTTCTTTTTTACCTTTTATTTTAGGTTCAGGGGTACATGTGCAGGTATGTTATGTAGGTAAATTCGTGTCCCAAGGGTTTGTTGTTCAGATTATTTCATCACCCAGGTTCTAAGCCTAGTAGCCAATAGTTATTTTTTCTGATCCTCTCCCTCCTCCCAACTTCCACCCTCAAATAGGCCCCAGTGTGTGTTGTTCCCCCTTTGTGTCCATGTGTTGTCATCATTTAGCTCCCACTTATCAGTGAGAACATGCAGTATTTGGTTTTCTGTTCCTGTGGTAGTTTGCTAAGGATAATAACCTGAGCTCCATACACAGTCCCACAAAAGACATGATCCTATTCCTTTTTATGGCTGCATAATATTCCATGGTATATATGTACCACATTTTCTTTATCCAGTCTGTCATTGAGCATTCAGGTTGATTCCGTGTCTTTGCTATTGTGAATAGTGCTGCAATGAACATACACATGCATGTGTCTTTATGGTAGAACGATTTCTATTCCTTTGGGTATATACTCAGGAATGGGATTGCTGGGTTGAATGGTAGTTCTGTTTTTAGCTAAAAGCAGCTGATTCTATCTGGGGAGTCAAAGGACCCTTCCTGGAGGAGGTGATGTTTACTCTCGAGGTTGAGTAAGAGTTTAACCAAGTGGGAAAGGAAGGATATCTCACTCAAGGCTGAGAGGGCGTGGCTGCCTTGGAGAAGGGTGAGACATTTGGAGTAGAGGGTGATGCAGGAGGGGATGAATGTGACTGGAGCGGGGAGGAGGAGCGGCCCCTGACCTGGGCCTCAGCCTGGCCCAGTTGATCTCTTAAACTTTCTTCCAGCTCTGAATCTCTTTGCATTGCTGCTAAAGCAGCTTCCGTCTGCTTCTGACTTTCTGTGGAATAAGGCCATGTGCAGGGCAGGAGTAGGGAGTGAAGCCTTGGAGGACAGAGGTTGCTTGCTCAGGGGAGGACACAAGGTCCTGCAGTACCCAGGCTGCACACATCACCTTGGCAGTTTGTGGGCAAACCCTCCTGGCCGAAGGGAGATTGCACCGCCAGCCACTTCCTCCAGTTCCTTCCCTCTGCCTGTCGTCACGGTTACCTTGGCCTTGTTGGGGGTGAGGTTAAGGTTGGGCGGAATCAATTGCAGCCAGGTTTCTATTTTCCCAGATACAGGTCAGCCAGAGGAGCTGTCACTTCTGGTTCAGTTTCAAAGAAGGCCAAGGGACTGGGAGGTGCTTGGGTGTGGCGGTGTTGACGAGGCGCCTCTGCAGCTGACTCCCAGGTGGGGTGGGAGTCGGGCAGGGAGAAGCTCAGAGGTGGTGAGGAGGCAGAAAGGGGGCTGCCCTGCCAAGGCCTGTGCTGATGGCCGTGGTGCTGGTCTCGGGCCCAGGCACTCTGTCCTGAGCCCCCAGAGCATGCTGGGAGTGTGCAGAGAGAGGCTGTTTATTTTCCTGGCCTATAGCCCTTTGGGCTGAGACCTCGTTCCAGGCCTTGGGCTGCCAGAGTCACCCCCCGCACCCTTCTCCCTGGCTGGAGAAGTGAGAGAGTTGGCAAGCCCAGGGCAATCCAACGGCTTCTCTAATGGCCTATGACTCTGGGCTGTCCCCAGCCCAGCTGGTCCTGGGTGTCCTTCAGATTTTCCTGGTAGGTAATGGACAGCAAGAGGTGCCACATCAAAGTGCTCCTGACGGACTGGGGCTGTAAGGGCTGGTGGTCAGGAGCAGGATGGTTGAAACCACTGAAATCTGAGTTTGAATCCTGACTGCTATTTTCTAGTTGTATGGCCTTGGGCAAATGGAACTATTGAGCCTCAGTCTCACCATCTGTAAAATGGTACAGTAATAGTAACTTCCTCATAAGACTTTGATGGTGAGGATTAAAGGATATGTGTTTAAAGCATTTAGCAAAGTAGGCAACAAATGGCACCTCTTGTTATTATTACTAATGGAACAATAACAACAGCAACTTTGATTCGAAGTCTGTGCTAGTGGGCAGTGAGTCTCCTTCTCCCCATTCGAGGGGTCCTGTTTCATGCATAGTGAATTTCTTAACATGTCCTGAGGAAGAAGCAAGCCCGGAGACTCAGGAGGCCCCTTGCTTGTGCCCCACGGTCCTTCAGCTCTTCCACAGGTGGGCATCCTAGGCTGGGGAGACTGTTAGTGGCAAGAGGAAATGGATCCCAGCATTTGGAAGGACCAAGAAAGGAATATTGGGTATGGAGGGGCAGGGAAGATCTTAAATCCCAACAGAAGGTAAGTGGAGAAGACAAAGATAGTCAAGGAGGTGGGAAGGGGTGGCAGTGGAATGTAGAACCTGTGTCCATGCCCAAGGCGTTTTTAAAGGAAGTGCTTGGGAACGACTGGCCTGGAAAATTGTACCCAGAGGGCTTGGGCTGGGCAAAAGAAAAGGCCGTCACCGCCCGTTGGGTGCCACCTCTATGTGAGTAGACTTGCCAGGCTCCTGGCCTCCTGAACTCCTCATCTGGCTTTAATCCTTTTCTCTGCTTTTGCATATTCTTCCCCCAGGATGCCCACCTGTGGGAGAGCTGAGGGACCCTGGGGACAGAAGCAAGGGGCCTCCTAAGTCTCTGGGCTTGCTTCTCCCTCAGGACATCTGAACCCAGATATCTGTCTTAGTCCATTTTGTGTTGCTATTACAGAATACCACCAACTGAGTAATTTATAAAGAAAAGAAATTTATTTCTCACAGTTCTGGAGGTTGTGAAGTCCAACAGCAAGGTGCTGGTGTCTTGTGAGGGCCTTCTTGCTGCATCATCCTAGGGCAGAAGGTGGGAAAGCAAGAGAGTACAAGAGAGCAAGAAAGGACCAAATTTCCTTTTGTAACAAACCCCCTTTTCTAATAACAACATTAATCCATTCATTAATATTGTTACTAATCACCTCTTAAAGGTGTCACCTCTCAACACTGTTGCATTGGGGATTAAGTTTCTAACACTTGAAGTTTGGGAGACACATTCAAACCATAGCAGAATCTCTGCCCTTTTTGGCCTCTGACTCCTCCCTGGGATGCTCTAAGAGGATCCTTGGACTGGCTGGGAGATACTTCCAATGCTCCAGGCAGTGAGCTGGCAGAAGTGATCACTTGTTCACTGCCAAGACATGGGTTAGAAAGATGAAGTTGTCCCTCTGTCTGTGTGTCAGGAGAGAAGCTGTATTCCAAGCCTGCCTCAATGTCTAATCAGTGGCTCTGTGCCCTCACAGCTAGATGAGGAAGAGGAGCGAAGGAAAAGGCGCCGGGAGAAGAACAAAGTCGCAGCAGCCCGATGCCGGAACAAGAAGAAGGAGCGCACGGAGTTTCTGCAGCGGGTGAGCTGACTGGGTGGGTGGGGAGGTCTGCCATTCCTTGGAGTGAGCTTGTGTACTCTGGACCAGGACAGGCCATCAGATGTCTCTGTAGTCAATGAGCATCTGCTGGCAGCTGCCAAAGCAGCCTTGACCCCTCTGCTCTTTGCTACCTCCTGTTTCCTCTCCCATCTCTGAACTAAGACAACTAAGGGCAGCCTTCAGCAGTTCCTGCCCACACAACCCCTGGAAGCCCAAGAAGGAAGGAGGAGCCAAGTTCCCCTCCACTGAGGATGGACCCTTGGTGCTGATTGACCCAGATCGTCCAGGACTGCCACTCTCTATTTTGGTTCCCTGGTGGCTACCAAAGTTGTCTAGGGTGGGTGCCAGTGAAGCTAGGTAGTAACATCCTGCATGTAGGCACTGGACACAGCCTCTGGCCTGGCTACCTATGCACAGAGAAAAGCTCCTTCCCTTAGCTGCAGGTGGCTTATCCAGCCCTGCATGCCATCTGGCCAGCCCCTCAGCTCCACTGACAGTGACCTCAAAGCTCTTTGATGCTGCCTCTGGGAATCAGAGGTCAGCTCTGCATGCAGAGGTCAGCCAGGGGTTGCTTTTCCTCCTGGCCCTACCTGCCCTTTCATTTGGAATGTGCCAAGCAGGATGTTTGTTCTTTTTCTCTCGAGTCCTGCCTCTTAGAGCTTCCCTGCATCTCAGAAATGGTGGCTGGCAGTGAGGAAACATGACCAGAAAGCTAATCAGTCCAGGCCAGGAGTCTCTGGTCTTTCCACCCCTAATCATTGTTTCACTGCTGAATAATAATAATGATAATGTATAATAATAACAGAATGGGGTAGGTCCTATTCTGTAAATACACAGTAATTAACAATAGTTGCCACTATTTGTAAAGTTGGGTGCTGTGCTAAATGCTGTATGTACATCATCTCATTTTATTGGGATAATAACCATATGAAGTGGGTAACTTCATTATTCTCTTTCTACAGATAAGGAAACTAAGGAAGTGTGGGGGCTAAGTAATTTGTCCACATTTCTGCTATATTGGCATTCATTCATTCATTCATTCATTTGCTCTTTTGTTCATTAATTGATTCAACAGGTATTTTTAAGCATGTACTAAATGTGCATTCTTGTGTTGGGTACGTTCGGGGCACACAGGAAGGAGCAGACACAGTCCTCCTGTGGGAGCTGGAGAGACAAGGCTAGATTGGCCTGGTGTTCTTGGACTCTGGAGGGTCTGTGGGGATCTTCTCATACTTGCAACAAGCAGAGAGCTATTCTGTGGTCCTGGGTGTAGACGGCATGGGGCCATGTATCTACCTGCAGGCTGTGAGTGTCCAGGGCAGAGAATGGTTACTGTAGACAGGAGTTAGACTCCTGGATCTGGGAGCCCGTTGGAAGAGAGGGTGCTACAACACTGGGCTGGGAATCTTCAGGAAGTTTCTAAGACACGAGCCTTCAAGATGGATGAAGTGTCACATACCTCATTTCCAGCACCGAGTGCCTGCCATGAGCAGAGCTGGATGAGAAACAGCAGGGACTAGAGAAGCTTCGCGTGAGATCCCTGCCTTCAAGAGCTTGTCAGCCAATTGCTAGGCGAGATACGCCTCAGCTGATAGCATGTTAGTGACACACCAGTGCAATAAAGAGTTGGTGCCCAAGGAACGGCACTCACTGCCCTTCACATTCCAATAACACTAGCTGAGCACCTACGGTGTGCCAGGCATTTCCCATGTTTTATTTAATCCTTATAACATTCCAGTGAGATAATATTATTTATCCCCATTTTAGAGACTGACCTGTGGCTCAGAGAGGTCAAGTTACTTGGCCAAGGTCACACTGCTAGCGAGTGGTAGGCTTGGATTTATTCATGCTTTGCTGATCCACTCATCCATTTAGTAGGTGTGTAGTGAGTGCCTGGGACACAGAGGGCAGGCAGGCGGTGTCGGCAGTGGGATGGGAGGCAGGAAACAAGGAATAGTGACGTGTGCCGAGCGTTGTGTCTGGCAAGCCCAGCGAGCTGTGAGAACACACAGCAAGGGCCCTGTCCTGGTCTAGGCTAAGGAAAGGCTGCTTCCATCCAGACATAAAAGAGGAGTAGGAGCAGCGAGATGGAGGCCCTAGGGGGTTATGAGGAATGGAAGGGCTCAAGCAAAGGCAAAAGGTGCTGTTTAAGGACGTGTTTAAGGCATTGGAAAGGAAACCAGCTGGAGTTTAGAGTACCAAGCGGTGGGCTGGAGAGGCAGGCAGGGCCCAGATCCCTCATAATAGGGTGATGCTAGATGCTGGGTTGCCTGAGGCATGCCCAGTCTGTGTCTGTTGTCCTGGCCTAATAATTAGTAGCCGCTTCCTTCACTCTCAGAAGTGCTGCGCTAGGATGATGAATTATATGGTCACGGAGAGCCACTGAAGGGCTGCAGGAAGGGAGACGCATACCTTCAAAAGATCCCTCTGGCGGCAACGTGGGGCACAGATTGAGGTAGAAGGATCAGTTTTGGAAGTGTCGTGTTGTTCCAGTGAGAGAGAAGCGTGCGGCCTTGGGGTCTGGGAGGAGATTTGGGCAGCATTGTCTGGGCCCAAGCCTAGCCCTCCACTCACCCCTGTGTTCTCCTCCTCCTCCCCAGCCTTGGAAGCAGAGGTTGGGTGTGAAGTTTAAGGCATGAATGCAGGCGGCTGTGTTGACAGTCAGTGCCTGCAGACCTGGGGGATTCTCTTGTAGTTTATTTTTAATAGGTAAAATACAAGGCTCAGAGATACATATATTAACTGTTAATAAATATTAATTATTTTTGAAGTAAGGGTATATATACATTTCGAACACATATCTACAGGCGGCCTTTCATAGCCAAGCATTCTGCATCTGTGATTCGACAAACAGCAGATCAAAAATATTCAGAAAAAAAAGCATCTGTACTGAACACATGCAGACTTTTTTCCTTGTCATTATTACCTAAACAACACAGCATAGCAGCTATTTACATAGCATTTACATCGTATTAGTCATTATAAGTAACCTAGAGATGATTTAAAGTATATGGGAGATATGTATAGGCGATACCCAAATAACACTCCGTTTTACATAAGGAACTTGAGCATCCTCGGATTTTGGTATCCTCGGGGAGTCCTGGGACCAATTGCCCACGGCTACTGAGAGACAACTGTATATATATATTATAGGTAAAAAACCACCGTCCCACCCTTGACCCCTGGACACCCAGATCTACACCTGCAAGATTCTTACTGCATCTCAGAGTTTGCCTGCCTAGACTAGCCGAGCCCTGAACCCGGGGGAAGAGGCAGGCCTTGGGAGGGGTCAGGGCCACACCCCACAGGCCCTGGGGCTACCTCAGTACCTCCTCCAGTCTGCAGTCAGGAGCAGTGGCCCTGAGGCTTCTGCCTTGTATAATGCTGGCAGCTTCTCTCACAATGCTGTCCTAACCCAGGTTCTTTAGATGTTAGTAGCAATAATGCTATCTCACATTCCTCTGGTGCCCTCTGGTCTTCACCGCCACTCTCTCCTTGATGGTCACAGTGGCCCTGGGAGGAGGAAATGCAGTCCCATCCATTGATGAAGTTCAAGGTCACACAGTGGCCGAGTCAGGACGAGAACCTGGGGCTTCCTCTGTGCCCCACACAATATTCAGGTTGCCCAGACTCAAAAGAAATTAGGAAACTCGTTCGCAGAAGCATAGCTAGCAAGTAGCAGAGTCAGGATTTTAATCCAGACAGGTCTTTCAGGCTCAAAGGGCATATCAGGCTGCTTCTCAGCTCTTACAGAAAGTTAGTGGAATTCTATTTTATGTGCCTTAGAATAGCTTTTTAAAAATATAGATTCAGACGATCTTTTGTTGTTGCTATTGCTGTTTTTGAGACAGAGTCTCACTTTGTCACCCAGGCTGGAGTTCAGTGGCACAGTCATAGCTCACCGCAGCCTTGTACTCCCAGGCTCAAGTGATCCTCCCACCTCAGCCTCCTGAGTAGCTGGGACTACAGGCACACCACCACGCCTGGCTAATTTTCTGTTTTTTGTAGAGACGAGGTTTCCGTGTGTTGCCGAGGCTGGTCTTGAACTCCTGGACACGAGTGATCCTCCCACCTCAGCCTCCCAAAGTGCTGGGATTACAGGCGTGAGCTACCATGCCCAGCCAATTTAAACAATCTTAATGCTTAAAGTCCCCTGGGCCAATCATCATATTTTCTGGGAGGAAACTGAGGCCCAGAGAGAGGAAGTGACGTGGCCAAGGTCACACAGCCAGGATTAAAAGCCAGGACACACAGCCCTTCACCTTGTATTCTTTCTACTGCCTTTGCCGACCACAGTGTAGGAGGCAGAACCTTAACATGTACTAATTCTATTCTAAAATAACAAATGGTTTCATTTTCTCTGGGGCAATAAATATCTAACAGAAGGCAAAACAATAAACAAAAATGCAGCCGGAGGTACATGCTTCATAATTAATGCGAGAAAGATCTTCGCTTAGTTCCTTCATTAATTAGGAAAACAAATTAGGTAATTGCTGTTATAAAGTCACAAACCACTTCTACAATCATGGTTTTTTAAAAAGGATTCTTCTGAACTCAACTTATACTTACACAATAAATAAATATGTAGAGCCAACCAATAACTCTTTGAGTGTGGAAGGCAGTAGAACTAAAAGGCAGTTAGTTACATCCTGGCCGGGCACGGTGGCTCATGCCTGTAATCCCAGCACTTTGGGAGGCCGAGGCAGGCAGATCACTTGAGGCCAAGAGTTCGAGACCAGCCTGGCCAACACAGTGAAACCCTGTCTCTACTAAATATATAAAAATTAGCCGGGCGTGGAGGCACATGCCTGTAATCCTAGCTACTTGGGTGGCTGAGGCACGAGAATTGCTTGAACCTTGGAGGCAGAGGTTGCAGTGAGCCAAGATTGTGCCACTGTACTCCAGCCTGGGTGACAGAGCCAGACTCCGTCTCAAAAGAAAAAAAAGCAGTTAGTTACATTCTGACAGCCAGTCAGAATTTGGGATATTCCATGATATAACCTAACATTTAAAACCCACAGAATATAATGTTCTTTGTATGAGAGCTGCATGAGTGAAGCAAGTTACCCTACACGGCACTCATCTTTTTGTGTGATACAGACGCTCCCATAGAGTTGGTTTGACACGTGGTAATTTCTAGGAGGCAGATCTATGTGTGCAGTGCTATTGAATTCTGCCTGTCAGAGGCTTCCCCTTGCATGTCCAGTTTTAACTTCAAACTCACTGTACCCAAAACAAACTCCTCCTTTTCCTTCCCGCCACTTTCCAGAACAGCTCCCCTCTCAGGCTCCATTCCTCAGACCCTCCATCGGGTTCATAGTCAGCTCTCTGCCCTATCTCCTTCCTTCTCCAAATCCTGCCAGTCACCAAGATCTGCTGATTTTTATTTGAGACATCTTCCTTCTTTCCCTCTCTTTCTTCTTTATGCTATTCTCTTGCTTATAAGTTACAGTAAGCCTCTCTGTTTGGTTTACAAAGTGCTTTTCCCTGTGAGTTCATCTAATCCCCAAGAGCCTCACCTGGCTGCAAAGAAATAACTGAGGCTCAGAGAAGTTAAGAAACTTGCTTCTAGACTCAGATTCTCAACCCACAAGCTTTCCAGAGCTACGGGCTGGCTCTCAACCCACCTTCTCAGCTTTCTACCCTACTATGTCCTAAAGCGAGCTGTGGTCACAGTGGAATAGTTTTCCCTTCTAAACCCATCCTAAGCTTTCCCATGCCTGGGTCTTTGTTCACTCAGGGTTCTCCACCCGCAAGTCCCTCCTTCCCCTTCTCAACCCAGCCTGAGTCAACCCATCTTTCATGCACAAGGTCAGACCCGCTCTTTAGCCCTCTCTAAGGTCTTCTGAACCCTGGGTGGCTGATGGTCACACGGCAAGCTCTGCCTTGTTGCACAGATTGCTTCTTCCGCTTACGGTGGAAACGCCACAAGAGCCAGTTGGGGACTCATGGCCCTTGGATTCCCCGGGGCATTCACTGTACACAGCAGGGCCTCAGCAAACACTCACGGATGGGTGGGTTACCCTGACACTCCCTTGAATCGGAGGCTCAGGAGAGTTTGACGATGGAGCTAAGTCCTTGGGCTGGGGAGACCGTGATGGTCAGAGGGTTTGTAAGAAGTTCCCAAGGTCACCAGAGAGTCACCAGTGAGCAGGGGGCTGACATTGGCACCTAACTGCCCCAGCCTGAGGGCTCACAGGCTTCCATGGATTCACACGGGGTCTCTCCTGGCCCTCCGAGATGCGCCTCTCTGGGAATTCTCAGAACAGAGGACCAGGCCAGCTTCCCAGTCACGTCCCAGCCTGTGGAACCAAAAACCACCAGAGCTGGTTTTTAATATTTTCCCTGAGCATTTTTTTTTCCTTTAGTGAGGCTGTTTTCTCTCAGCGTCTGGTCACGAGGCCTGCCCGTCTCAGCAGTTCTGAGTTCCCGGGCACTCATGCTGCCGCCTCGGAGATGAGCACAAGGAACAGTTCGGTCAGACCGGCTGTGGGAGAAAGACGGCACCCTTGGAGGGAGAGGGTTGGGCCCACCGAGGGTTCTGGGGACCCCCTGGGGAGGCCACTCCACCTGTGCCCTGCCAGGAGGACCAGCAGGCTTATGGGCTCACAGGCCCTCTGGTTGTCACATACGCAGCTGCAACTACTGCTTGCTCTTTGATACAGGTTGCTCAATCTCTGCACTATCGCCATTTTGGACTAAATACTCCCGGGGCTGGCCTGTGCATTGAAGGGTGTTTAGAGCATCCCTGGCGTCTACCTGCTAGCTGCTGGTAGCACAGCTCCCCCTGAGTTGTGATAATCAAAAATGTCTGCAGACATTGCCAAATGTCTCCTAGGAGGCAAAATCAGTCCTAGTTGAGAACCACTGGTCTGAAACTTTGCTGGTCCTCAAATAAATGTCAACTCTCAAAGTTTTTAGACATAATCCAAGAAAAATTATTCGGATGCTGTTTTACTGTTCAACTCCCCAAGCCTTGAATGGATATGCCCATCTCCCATCTACACTATGGACATGTAATCCTCGCCACCTCCCGAATCAAATCGTCAACCTTCCTTTCTTCCCCTGGAACCTCTCCAGCTGAGCTGGAAGTTCCCTGGAAATCTCACTCGAGGTCTATTGGAAACCTCATTTGGGATCCAGCAGGATGACTGCTGATTCCCTGTCTGTGGGGAAAGCTTCCAGATTATAGGGATAAGGAAGAGGCTATTGAAATAATTACAGACTAATAGCTAGGAAGCACATGTTTTAGAAGGAATAACGACCACACTGCACTCACTCATCCCACCGGCCAAGATATCTCCCACATGTGTCTGTCACACATCAAAGCACATTGCCATTACACCGCCATCTGTGTCCCCCTTCAGGGACCCCCATGCTTGCTCCATAGACGTTCTCTAGGTCCACCTGGCCTCCTTTCTTTGCCCACCCTTTCTTTCTTATGCAAAGGCCCTGAGGCAACAGAGTATTTGGCATATTTGAGCGATAGCAAGGCGGTCACTGAAGCTGGGGTGGATCGAGGGAGGGAAGAGAGGTGGGACGTGAGCCTGGCTGGCCCTAGAATATAACCTGAATGTAACGCCAGTGTCACCGCTGTGGCGGGCACTGCCTGCAGAAAGTCAGTTAGCCAGGGGCTCAGGAGCAGGGTCTGTGCTTCCTCCTGCAGAAGACAGGCCAATGCCAGCCCAGCATGCCCTGTGCCTCACCACAGAGCCAGTCCCCGTGAAACTCACAGCATGCTTCTGTGTTTGCACACAGGAATCGGAGCGGCTGGAACTCATGAACGCAGAGCTGAAGACCCAGATCGAGGAGCTGAAGCAGGAGCGGCAGCAGCTCATCCTGATGCTGAACCGACACCGCCCCACCTGCATCGTCCGGACCGACAGTGTCAAGACCCCTGAGTCAGAAGGCAACCCGCTGCTCGAGCAGCTCGAGAAGAAGTGACCATGGGCTGGGAGGAGGTGGAGGAGGAGGAAGAGGAGGAGGACAAGTGACGAAGAGGGAGGAGGAGGGGGGCCCCAGATGGCCCTTCGGTGCATGAAAAACTGTACAATGAGGTTCAGCACAGCCAGCATCAGCCGAGCTTTTTTGTGAAACTCAGATCAGCCACCCAGGGGGAAGAGCGGGCTGAGGAAACCCAGAGGGACCAAGCGCTGAGACCAAAGTTGACCCTCGGGTAGGGCTGTCCTGCCTGGGGCCCCACTTGAAGGAGGCAGGACAGAGGCACCGAGGCCAGGGAGACGCCCAGTGAGGCAGCCCTGGGCCCTCCTCCGGCCTCTTCACCAGGGCACCCACCCGAGGAACCTCCGAACAGCCAGGAAAAGCCATGAGTTGCAACCAAAATGAGGCTGAGGACAGAACTCAGAATGAAACTGCAACCCACCTGCCCCCAGCCCTGCCCCTCACCCTGATGCGAAGCTGGAGAGGGGCGTGCTGCAGGGCCCTGATGCCCCCACCCACCTCGGTCCAGCGCGGCCCTGCCCAGGAGGCGGCAGCCGGGCGCACCCTCGCCAGCCCTGCTGGAGTTTGCTGTGGGCACTGAGGCGCGGGCGCCCTTCCAAAGCACATACTCACCGAATGTTTACAGACTGGCTGTCCTGGCAGGGCTTTCAACTGCACATGTTTTTTATACTTTCCTTTTTTTTTTTTTTTAATATTTTTTACAAAAAAAAGATTTTATACAAGCAATATATATATGGATTTCTATAATCACTCGATGTGATACAGTATAAATATGCTATGGTTTGTTTGTTATGAACAGATAGCCACCAGTTACGGCCGTTGTGTGTAACTCCTAAGTACTGTAGTCTCTGGGTGTCGGGGGTGGCCAGGGCGGGGGCGGGGTGCATTTCCATCCTTGTAAACCCTTCATAGTACTCAGTCCTGTATCGCTCAGTAAACATTGCTCTTACGTACACAGCCGCCTTGCGTGGTGTCTGCCTGGGGAATGGGTGCAAGGCCCTCTCAGAGTCGGAGACTGTTTGGCACCTCTGCTGTAGGCCCTTCTGCTCTCACGACAGCTCTCCTATTTCACAGATGAGGAAGCTAAGGCTCAGAGACATTAAGCCACCTGCAGTTACTATTCTGAGAGCAGTCCGTGTGTTCACTCACTCTGCAGGTGTTTTCTGAGGGCCTGTTTTGTGTGCCAGGCCCTGAGAATTCACTGGAGGATGAAACAGACCTGAGTCTTGCCCTCTTGGGGCCTTCAGTAAGGAGTGAATCCTGTGCTTGCTCCACACATTGTCTCATTTCGTCTTCATGGCAGCCTTGCCAGGGAGCAACACTTGTCCCCAGCTCACAGATGGCAAATTAGAGGCCCAGGGATATTAAACTCGCAGCCACCATTTGTTGAAGACTTATTTTGTGACAAGCAGACATAGTCTCTTCCCTTCTCACAACAGCACAAAATAGGCATGATTCTTGCTGTTTTACAGACGATTTAACCGAGGCTCAGGGAAGGTAATCGACTTATCCAAGGTCACCCAGCTAGCAAGGGACAGAGCTGGTGTTTGAACTCTACCTCCAGAGGCCTGTCACTTTCCTCCTGTCACCAACCCACTATGATTGTCCTCGTGGTTTCTGGGAAGGCTGGATGGAGTTTCAGGTTGTCCCATGATCACAGAGTGAACCAGCTACTCTGGTCAATGTGTGCCTGACCCGGGGAAGGGTGTGGACGGCTTCCTCACCCCCTTACCCCCACAGCTGAATCCCTGCCACCCAGAGCCGGAGCAGCTCAGTGGCATTCACTCAGTGCCTGCTGTGTAGCTGGCACTCGGCAGTTCTCAAGGCATGCGTGAGGAAGGCGGGAGAGGTGTTTTTAGCTCCCTTGTATACTGAAGCTTGCAAAGGCTACAGTTTACCCAACTAAACTTGACTCCTGCATTCTAATCATGTGCTCTTTCTCCTCCATTGCTGGACTTAGGATAACTAGTTGCTGGTGATGACTCGTGTCAAGAACAGCAGTGAACCTGGGTTGCTTCCCAAATCGTGGACGAGGCCTTCTGGGATGGGCAGAAGTGGAGAATGGTGATTAACACACCTGTGGTCCCTCCCTCGCTCACTCCTCAGCTTCTCTCCACTCAACACACTTGTCGTGGACTCCCCTGCACCCCGCCCTAGAAACAGGACCTGGTCCCCTCACTGTCAGCTGTGGCAGAGGGTTGTGGCAGCGGATTGCCTTCTGACTCGGGGGGCTTGATGCTGTTGGTCCGGACAATGCAGGTGAGGCAGTTCTGTCAAGAATCCCTTGCGCTGTAATCCTTTGATATTTTTCAAGCCATGAGAAAAATGAAGTGGACTTACCAGGGTCCCTCCAGTGACCTAGTGGATGTTCTTGCAGGACTGCCACGTGCCACTGGCTGTGGCTCCCCTGGTCCTGTGCTTGGCCACCAGGAGCTGGCATCTCCAAAATACAGCCTCCTTAGCCTATTTGACAGCAGATGCGCTGTCTTTCAAAGTCACCACACCAGTGACTTGTGCTGTGCGGAGCCTTCCTCACCAGGACCACTGGCCACTCCTGTGGCCAGAAGTCACAATTATAGGCTTCATTGCAAGAGCCAGCATTTGAGTTTGTTCTGGGTACCTGCCACTGTGCATGTGTGACCTCAGCTGCTTTGTGCAGCCTGGCTGGGAGGTAGGTACTAGCATCTCAACATTACAGATGAGAAAACTGAGGCACACAGAAGAGGTAACTTGCCCAAGGTCACAGGTGTTAGGTGGCAGAGCCAAGATGTTATTGCCAGTCTGACTTCAGGTGCATAAAACCTGAGGCTGAGCCTCCCCATGAGAGGAAAAATGTGTTTGTGGTGTGACCTCAGTTGCCAGGGAGCTTGTGCAGGAAGCCGGGAGAGATGGCACAGACCCACCCATGCTCACAGTGCATATCAAGCATTCCCAACCCTCAGGCAAACCATCTCCAAGGGTGTGTACAGAAAACACACCTTAAAGGCAAACGGGTTCATGATGTAATCTATTGACTAGCTGTGAGCCTTATTTTTCTTATCTGTGAAGTGGGAACAGTAATAATCCAAGTCTTTCTATGGAGTTATCAGGATCAAAAGAGGAATGGATATACGAAGTGTTTTGTGAAATAAACTCCCCTAAAATGGTAATTATTTTGTCCTCTGTTAGCGTGGATAGTTGTTGATATTTACATAGTACAGTTATTTAAATATGTTTTATTCTCTAAAGATGGGCTGCCAAGTTTGTGTTCTGACCCTGTACGTGGTCCCTATGGTGTAACGAATGCCTGAGATCCCAGACTCCTGGATCTGTTCAGCTCCTGACTGGTCACAACTAGCCATGCTGGATGCATCATTCCCTCCCTGGGCCTCAATGTGCCCTCCTGCCAGGTGGTCATAAATAAGACCTATGCCACGTCTGCCCAGGGTTCCTATGAGAATCAATCGAGTTGATGAATGCAACCATGGCCTGAGAAAGACAAGATACTTTAGCCATCAGATGGGCAGAAACAAGTATGTGTTGGTAAGAATATGGAGTAAAGGTTGGGAGGCTGAGGTGGGCGGATCACAGGGTCAGGAGATCGAGACCACCCTGGCTAACACAGTGAAACCCTGTCTCTACTAATAATACAAAAAATTAGCCGGGTGTGGTGGCACGCGCCTGTAGTCCCAGGTACTTGGGAGGCTGAGGCAGGAGAATCACTTGAACCCGGGAGGTGGAGGTTGCAGTGAGCCGAGATCACGCCACTGCACTCCAGCCTGGGCGACAGAGCTAGACTCCATCTAAAAAAAAAAAAAATATATATATATATATATACACACACACACACACACACACACACACACACACACGCACACAAAAGGATTAAAGGAAATTTACATATCCTGCCAGTGAGAAACTGTGCAAAGCAATTTGGAAATAACCAGTAACACTAAAGCTAAACACATCCTTTGACCTAGCAGTTTTCCTCCCTAATCTTGGAAGGGACACTAGCACAGGGGCAAAAGGAAATGTGCGAGAATGTTCACTGATGCTTTGTTTGTATTTTAAAAAAAAGTTGACAACCACCAAATGACATAAGAACAAATAAATTGTGGTATTTTCCTAAAATTGAATATTACTCAACAGGTAAAAAGAATGAACCAGAGTTGTATGTATCAATGTGGATAAATCTCAGAAACCTACTGTTGAGATGGAGGGTAGGGGAGTGAACTGCACAAGGATACCGCTAATGTCATATTTCTAACTAAATGTATACGTTGATACTTTGTTGTTTATGGCTACACACAGATCTGGGTATAAAAGCCTGCACAAGAATGCTGTCAATATCACAATCAGTCATAGGGAGTGCTCTTGGGAGGGCTGGGGAGAGGAGGGAACTAGGGATCACGGCAAGGGTAAGTAGGACGCTGGATTTCAACTTCAACTCTACACATAACATTTCATTTGTTTTTTAAAAATCCCCATCAAATGTAGAATGACATTAGGATTTTTCAGAGGTGGGTGATGTATGCACAGATGAGGGCTGTCTTCTCCACACTCCTCTGTATGCTTGATATATTTTACAATAAAAGAGAACAAGCCACAATACAAATAGGAGGTTTTGTTTTTATTATTTCCTTAGCAAACGCAGGAAAATAAAAACAAATCTGAAATTACAATGGAATTGCAGCATATGCTCTTTGAATTTATGCAAATTTAATTATATGCCTGAAGAGAGAGAGAGACAATTCAAAGGGTGGAAAGAGGTTAGCTGGTTGAGCCCTGGGGGAGGGTGCCCGGGGGGTGAGGACACCTTAACGAGTGTTGCTCTGCTCTGCACTCAGTGGATCCTGGTCCCTGCTCTCTACGGGAAGGGCAAGTAGGGCGTGTTCAAGGTTCGTCTGGACAATAGACTTCTTCCTTACCTGCTGACTTTTCAATCTAAGCCCTACTCGAAAGCCAACTGTACTGCGCCTGTAAGAGGAGCTGTGGACTGGACGGTGAGCAAAGGGGAAGCCTTTGAAGACAGAACCCAGTTTTGACAGGTATGTTCATTTTCTATTGCTGCCATAATAAACTATCACAGATTTAATCCCTTAAAACAACACAAATTTTGTCTTACAGTTCTGGATGTCCAAAGCCCAAAATGCTTCTTACTGGGCTAGAATCAAGGGATCAGCAGGACTGCGTTCTTTTTGGAGGCTCTTGGGGAAAATCCACTTTCTTGCTTTTTCCAGGTTTTGGAGGCTGCCCGCATTCTACCTTCAAAGCCACCAATGGCCACACATCTTTCTCACCCACTGCTATGACACTGACTCCCTGCCTCCCTCTTCCCTCCCTCCTCCATCTTTTTTTGTTTGTTTGTGTTTTGAGACAGAGTTTTGCTCGTGTTGCCCAGGCTGGAGGACAATGGCACGATCTCAGCTCACTGCAAACTCCGCCTCCCGGGTTCAAGGGATTCTCCTGCCTCAGCCTCCCGAGTAGCTGGGATTACAGGTGCCCATCATCACGCACAGCTAATTCTTTGTATTTTTAGTAGAGATGGGGTTTCAC